AAACGTGAAACTTGAGAGAGTGTTTCCCCGAGAAGAAAGAGCAAAATGGAACGTTTGTGCTCTTTTCCGCCGCTAGTGCGCGAAAAGAAAAAGAAGAAGAAGAAACAAATAAAATTGAGAGGTGTGAGATTCGCTCATTTGAGGCGAACAGAGAGGGAGGGCGGCAAAAAGAGATTTTTATTGTCCTGGTGACATGTGTACCGAGAAATTAGGATGATGACCTATTTGCACTTTGACAGAGGTGCGAATTGCCAAAAAAACAACAGTGGGGGCTCTGTGGGGTTATTGTGGGTCAGAAGACGTATTTGCTCTGAGCTCAATTATCTCAGTTTCTGTAAGAGATATCCAAAATTTGTCAACTGAAAACATGTTCACCATTATATCGCCAATATTTTTTCAGTTTACCAATTTTTGATATCTTTCATAGGAACCGAGATAATTGAGCTCAAAGTTTACATATATGAAAATACGGTATCTCTCGGGCATAAGAAAAATCCGAAAATTCTCTACTTTCGAGTATATTTCGAATGTCTGTCTGTTTTATGTTTTTGAATGACATCTTCAAAAATTTAAAAAAAATCTTATGTCTGGAAAACAATAAAACTCAGAAACATATGTTTGTGAATATGGTTAAAATAGGTATTGGAAAAAGGAATGTCCAGAAAAAAGGTGTCTATGATATCTGTGTGTCTGTTTGTCCAGATATAAAGAATTAATAAAGTTACAATAACCTTGACACTGACTGTGAGAGCTGTCCATTTCATCAAAATTTGCTGAAACTCGGAAAAAAATGTTTTTGGGAATACAATCTTTTCTAAATTTCAAGAATTGATGAAGAGAAATGATAAATTTTGGAAAATCCATTTTCATTTGTTGACAGATTATTGATATATCTAATAGGAACTTAGGTAATTGAGCTCAATAGGATGGGCTTCTATTAGGGCAGATACGGCAGCTAGAAATCTGGAAATTAAGCATCGGAAAAATGAATTAGAAATTTTTACCCGTTTTCACAAAGTTTCAAAAAACTCTCCTCATGGAACACTCACTCAAACAAGTCCACAAACTACAAAATGAACTTCAAAGATAGGTTCGAAAAATGTTGCATGGGAAAAGTGCTCCTGAGGCTCATTGCTCACTTTCTTCTCGGCGATTTTCTAATGTTTGTTTAAAAATTACTACCAGCAATCATCACTTTCTTGCAGATGCTGTTTGATCGAAGTTTAGTAGTGAGAGGATGGCAAATCGGAAATTGGACTAAAGTCGGATTTTCAAAAAAAAAAATGTAAAAAATATATACTACCGTCCAATCAGATAAAACTTTTTTTCGGTTGATTGTTGGTCATTTTGAGCATTTCCAGGAGTCTGGTGCTTGACTTTAAAGTTTCCGAACACTTTGAAAATTTAGGAGGGTGTAAAACAGACCTAGATTGAATACTTTGGATTCACAGAATTTTTAGAAAATTCTCCGTTTTTTAGATATTTGATTTCTGAATGGCACCTAAAATGTCATTGAAAAGGGTCATCAAAATTCGAAAGGTTATAATCTAAGGTGTCTAGGCGATTTGATATTAATTTAGTATAGTCTATAAAGTCAAACTAACGCAAAGATGAAGGTAAAAACTAGGAAGCTGGCCCGGAAAAGTGAATAGCCTCTCCTCAAAGGTCCTCTTGAGTTTTTTCTTTCTCCATGAAACCGAATACCTTCTACTAAAAAAGAAGCAATCAAAAAGTAGAATAGGAAAAAACCAGCTTATTTTTCAGATGAAAAAATTCATGTTTGCTTAGTTCCAATGTTTTTTTTCTGCCCTATCCCCCTGCCCTACCCGTACCCTATGCCTTTTGAGATCAATTATCTCGATTCCTTTGAGAGATATCAAAAATGTCACAACTGATAAAATATTGGTGATATTATGATAACCAATTTGTTAGTTGAATTTTTTTTTTTGATATCTTTCGAAGGAACCGAGATAATTGAGCTCAGAAAGCACGGATAGGGTGAGCTTCTATTAGAGTATTTGTACTCTTGAAAAATTCATCTACGTTTCTCGGAAACTAGTTATCAATAGAGCACACTTGCTGACCTATTTTCTAACATCGCAAGCCTCGAAAATTGACACATTTTTTTCTTTCATTTTTGTTTGCACTGGATATCCATTTCTCACATCCCACGGCTCAACAAAACAAAAAATTTTAGGATTCCATTTGATTTATAATGATTTATACATCATCAACAAATATTTAAAAACTGAATATAAAATAAACATTTCGGTGACACTGATCTTCAAAAGTTGAAGATGGATGGGCTTCTTTTTTTTTGGGGAGAATGAATTGGAAGCGAAATTTAATCCTTGTGAACTTTTTTGGGGGATATTTGAAAAAAGAGAATAATGACAAACTGAAGATACATTTGAAAACTTTGCTTGTTGTGTAGCTACAGTAATCTATAAGCCAGAAAAAAGCCAGAAAATTTTAGAGTTATTAGAAGCTGTCTAGAAAGATCAAGACAGGCCAGGTTCTCAAACATTTTTCGATCTACCTATTCAACCCAACAGACAGCTGGAAAGTTAAAAAGTCCACATTTTCGAGAGTCATTCCAAATGTTGGCCCCCCTCTTTTCAATTCTACTCCCTCAAAATTTATGTGCCTCATTATTCTACCTTCCCGAATATTCTCCGAAAATTTTCCCTTCTGTTGCTATACGATTGCTCATGGCGGAGCTAATCCGCTGCCTTCTTCCAAGAGCAGCAATTACCGCATTAGAAAGGTATACCTCTCTTCAGCAAAACAGACAAATTTGGATAGAAAATGCTCATATATTCGAAAATCTGGATGAAATAATGATGAATGTCAAAATGATCGAATCCGTCGTGCCACAAATCACTGAATGTAACAAGAAACCTGTATAAGAAAAGCCCCCACACCGTCAGCTTGTGCCAGAAATTCTGTCGACTTTGAGCCCATATATCTCGGCTTCTGGGAAAGTTATCAAAAATGTGTCAACTGATAACATATTGGTGATAAAATGATAAAGATTTTATCAGTTTAGAACCTTTTGATATCTTTGATAGGAACCGAGATAATTGTTCTCAAAAAGCACGTATCCAAGGGGCTTCTATTAGGCCTGTACGGTAAGTTGTGTACCGTATGCTGCTTCTGAAGAATTTTCCGAAGTCGAGTACTTTGCAGAGTGATAGAAATAAAGAAACCGCTAACTGATAGGACCATCCACAAACAGATTCCAGTCACAATTGGCAACATTACTGGGCTTATCTAGCTCATGGAATACTGTAGCTACACAAATAGCAATCAGTAGACAACATATGCCAGTCAACCTTCTGACTCCTACGATACAGTAAGTCATGGAAGAAAATAATCCCTAAAATTGGATTCAAGATTGATCCAAATGTTCTGCTTTAGGGGAATCACTTCTTGGAGCCCGGCTGCCTAATGATCCTGATGGACTCAGACGAGGTGAGCAATGACTGTGATGATTTATCCGATTTCTAGAAGTTTCTGGAGTGTCCAGACTTATTAGTCAGCTCATTAGCGATATTTTTCTTTTCTTTCAAAACAAAAATGATGCGAGGATTTTATTCAGAATGAGACTACTGATTACAATAGGATACCATAGGAAAGAGAGGAAATATGGGTTTCAAAATAGTTATGATGATTTGACAATGTCACTGATAGGGTCGGGAAATGAAAATTACCACAATGAAAATAGAAAAGTTCAATATTTCAGCAGGTCTTTGATGAGTTGAGAAGGTTTCTACCTTTGTCGGCGAGGAACGTTGTATCCCTCTAGCTCGTGTACGTACTGGTACATTGCGTAGAACTGTTCTGAAATTTGCAAATATGAGTTCCAAATTCCAGTGGTAGTCAGTCACACGAAAACTTACTTATGTTGAAAACCAAGTACTGGCACACGTACATCAGACCATATTTGTAGTATTGCGGATTCATTTTTGACAGATTTCTATTCCAGAAGATGTCAAGCGCACCTGTGATGATTCTCAATATGAACAGCAACTCGAGATAGAAGATGGCACTTGATGTGTGTCTATACCTCCCTTCAGCAATTTTCTGATGAATACTGTACTGCCAGGCGACGAGAACACATTTCCCGGCAATGAGAACGGGACTCCAGCCATTGGGTAGATCTTTGGAATACTGGTTGATGTAAAGGATACATGATTAGGAGCGGGATTTCTACAGCCATTATCAAAAGATTAGGTGGTGTTGGACGTTGTCTTCCACGTGACATGGTGTATCTGAAAATTAACTTTTAGAATTGTAACGAAACTTGAATGAAATCCAAACAGAGTGAGCCGCCAGAGTGTGAAAGAGAATAAATAATATGAAGTCAAAATATGAAGTCAAATCACATCTTCCTTCCTCAGACCTGACAGCTCACATGAGGCAATTAATAAAGAGTCATGCGGACGGGATAAGTCGCGGGAAAGGGCTATCCTTAAAATTTAAAGTGCATGAATAGGATCTCGTTTCCGGTTAATAGTACGTACAAAACTAGGGGGAAGAAAGCTGAATTTCCTTACTTAGCGCCGAAGACTTAATGGAAACGATATATAGATTGAAAAAAAAATTTCGAATCAAGAGCATTTGAATTTTTGGTGGACAGCATTGGGACGGGTATTGGGATATTCCATGAATGAACGAACTGATTCGTCCACGCTCGCCCGCAGCAACGAATTTATTCTAAGTGCCTCAGATTCAATCATGACTGTTATGTTTCATTCTTGACTGAATATTTGACGGTTATATTGTGCTCAATTGTGTCAATTCCACTTCAACCAATTATCTAGCCACTATCCATTTTCTGTCTTACAATCTCTGATAAAAATACTCCTAGATACACAGACAATATTTTCAGTCCCTAGTGCCCTACTTGAAAAACAACTCCTATTGTTATCTCACTAGCCCACGCTCCCTTTCCCTTTATCTTCATTCATTCTCCCTTCCCAATCAACTATACAATCATGCGCGCTTCCTCGGAACCTCCTGAAATGACTTATTCTTCTGAACGAGCTCCAACCCCAACCCCAGCTATCACCACCCTTCCTATCAGAACAGTGTCAGAAGATCAAAAGAAAAGAGCCCAGACTGTTTCATTGATCCCTTTATCGTTCGATATCGTATTCCTCGTTATTTACATTACTTTGATTGCTGTGTATCTCCACGAGGATCGTCACACTCCAATTCAAATCCACGCTCTTCATGGAACATCTGCTACAGTAAAAGCTGGAGTTGTCATCGGGCAGGCATATGTGATCAAAGTCATCAGCAGAGGAACGTACTCCTCCTACCATCGATCCTACACACTCACTATAAAAGTTTCCATTTTCCGTCTGTTCATTGTCGCCCACGACTTCATTCTCTACAGTTTTCGAAACTCGGAAGGACTCAAAATGGAGACTATTGTTGATTGGATTGGAATTTGGTCTGCTGCGATGTACATGCTTTATAGTATAAGTGAGTAATCAGAGATTCTGAAAAATAAAATTAATGTGTTTTCAGTGGTTCCGATATTAGTGTGGGCGTATTATTACAAAACTGATGAGGAGGTTGAGATGATGCAAATGCCAACACCGGAGAGAAGAAGCAGATATTCTTCGATGGAGTTTAATGAGGAGGAGAGATATTACATGGCTTGATCTTCCATTCCAGTTCGCTTAATTTTTACCTTTTCTTCAGGAACTATTTTTTCAGGAATCCTAAATTCTGGATTTTCAATAAATGTGTTAATTTTTGAACTATGTGTTTTTAATCGGATGTGAGATTGTGAGAAAAAAGCTAGGATATACAATTTCTGTCATTATTACAGAGTTTACCCCTTTTACAGACTTTACCCCAAAAGGAAAATTTTCTTTAGTTAGTTTACAAAAAAATCAATTAATTACATTCTAACTTTGATTATTTTTAATTAATTACATTCTAACTTTGCCCTTTTCAGAAAAGCAAGGACTATTAATGCACTTTGAATTATCACGGCCACATTACTCTTTGATAATTGGCTCATGAGAGCTGTTAACTAGGGAAGGCCCCAACTGGGGTGTGGCGATACGCATGGTGACCTATATTATCTGAAAGCTGACATTTTCCTGATTCCAAATCTGTTTTCAAAAAGTGCATTGTCGCGGTAGTTTTCGAGAAAACTGGGTCGGAAGCTTTGAAAAAATACGTGGATTTTAAATACAATTTTCCTCCATCACGTATATAAGTTTTTGAGAGTTGAAAAAATGTGGAAGCGTGGTCAAATGGTTAGTGAGGAGGAATATTGAGCGGGTACTTTCTGGTTTGACTCCTTCGACATGCTAAACTTTTTTTGAATTTTTTCATTGTATTTTTCTTTTGATTGTATCGAACTTCTGGATGATGTTAAAGGTCAGGAAATCTTGTGAAAAGTCTTATTTTATTGTTTCTCTGCGTTTAGAATGTATTTTAGGACATTCAAAATTTTTCGAAAATTTGTAAAAAATCCAAGGGGGTACCCCATGGCGATTTTTACAAAAAATAAATTTCGAAAAAAAATTTGAAAAAACTTTCAGGTTATAGAGAAACATTCAAAATGAAAATTGAATTTAATAAAAAACCCAGGAATGAAGCCATCAACTCCTTCAAAACTCATTTCAAAAACTAGGAGTATGTACTGAAATCACTTTCAGAGCTCATAATTGTCTTCATATGGCCAATTTGAAGAAAATAACTTTGGTACTGTAATCAGCGTTAAAAAATATTTTTAAAAGTACTAATGTCCAAATGTAAAGAGAAATCATAAACAAGTGGTTTGCCTAAAATCTCCAATAGATCAACCTCTGAAAATTGCTGAAGTCTAACTATAAGCTAGCCGGAGAAGCCAAAGTAATCAAAGTTATTTTCTTCACATTGAAGACAATTATGAGCTCTGAAAGTGATTTCAGTACATGTTTAACTTTTTTGGACGGAGTTTTCAAAAGAGTACATGGAACTGACTGTATCTTGTATTTCGAATGTTTCTCTATAATCTGAAAATTTTTCAAATTTTTGTTTCGAAAATTTTTGTTTTTGAAAAAATCGCCTTGGGAAAAATTTTGAATGTCCTAAAATACATTCTAAACGCAGAGAAACAATAAAATAAGACTTTTCACAAGATTTCCTGACCTCTAACATCATCCAGAAGTTCGATACAATCAAAAGAAAAATACAATGAAAAAATTCAAAAAAAGATTAGCATGTCGAAGGAGTCAAACCAGAAAGTACCTGCTCAATATTCCTCCTCACTAACCATTCGACCACGCTTCCACATTTTTTCAACACTCAAAAACTTATATACGTGATGGAGGAAAATTGTATTTAAAACCCACGTATTTTTTCAAAACTTCCGACCCAGTTTTCTCGAAAACTACCGCGACAATGCACTTTTTGAAAACAGATTTGGAATCAGGAAAATGTCAGCTTTCAGATGATATAGGTCACCATGCGTATCGCCACACCCGAGTTGAGGCCTTCCCTAGTAAGTCTGGAGAAGTAAAGGTGTGATCTCCCTACTGAATTGAGAAGTCACGCCCTCTACCTCTTTCACCCCACGACCAAAACGACAAGTTCATTTTTCTCAGGCGGCTCACTAGATTTACTTCGTGCTTTCTAACAATTCTAGAAGTCAATTTTCAGATATACCATGCCACGTGGCAGACGATGCCCAAAACCGCCTAGTCTTTATATAAAGACTTTCGAAATCCCGATCCTAACCCTGTACGTCATTTACATCATTCAGTTCCCGACGCACCTTTCTAATGGCTGGCCCATTCTCATCGCCTGGCAGAACAGTCTCCGTCGCAGAATCGCCGAAGGGAGATATAGACATACCTCAAGTGCCATATTCCATCTGTTGTTGCTGTTCAAATTGAAAATCATCACAAGTGTGTATGACCTCTTCTGGAATAGCAAACTGTCAGATATCGATCCAGCAGTGCACACCTACGGTTGGCTATACGTGGCCCAATCCTTGGTTATCAACACAAGTAAGTTTTCTTATCACTGACTATCACTGGAAATGGAAACTTATATTTGCGAGTTTCAGGACAGTTCTATGCAATGTACCTGTATGTACAAGAGCTGGCAGAAGTCAGGAAGAACGATCGTCACCGTCGATAAATGTGGAAGTCATGTTATCTCATAAAAGACTTGCTGAAATTTCGAACTGTTCTATGTCCATTGTAAAAATGCATCACATTAATAATCTGCAGAAATTTTTCTTGCCCAGCACAATGATCCTATCAATGACATTGTAATATTATCCTACCTATTTAAAAATCCTTATTTTTCATCCATTTCTCCTCTTGGTATCCTTTCGTGATCAGTTCTGCATGTCTGAATAAAACCCTCACATCATTTTTGTTTTGAAAGAAGAAAAATATCGCTAATGAGCTGATAAGTCGTAAGGCTCCAGAAAGTTCTAGAACTGCAATAAATCATCACAGCCATATGAGTCCAACAGGATCATTAGACATCCCTGCTCCAAGAAGAGAATCTATTGAAACACAGCATTAGGATCATCCTGAATCCAATTTTTGCATACTTGTAATCCGGGTCTTTGCCGGGCCTCTGCCATAATTTCTTTCAGAAATCTGCCATAATTTCTTTCAGAATCTATTTTTTCGAACCAACTAAATCAGATAGAGCTCCACGAGTACTACAAAACGGTATTATTTGGAATACTGTATCTTATCTATGAACAAAGTTACAGATTATAAAGTGGCTTTTCTCGCAGGGCCCGGCAGGCCCGGGGCGGGCCTGCTTTTTTTTGCTCCTTTCGCTCTGTAACTCTGTTCATAGATAAGATACAGTATTCCAAATAATACCGTTTTGTATTACTCGTGGAGATCTATCATACCTGATTGAGTTGGTTCGAAAACATTGATTCTGAAAGAAGTTATGGCAGGGCCCGCGAAGGCCCGGCAAAGGCCCGGATTACAAGTATGAATTTTTGTATTTCTCTGGATTTTTCTTCATCGTAAGTATCGGTGGGGTCCAGTGCCGAATATAGGCTCTCAGTGGTTAGCTGCTAATTGCTAGCTACAGTAGCTACAGTAATCCACGAATTAGAAGAGTTCAGTGATGTTGCTAACTATACATTTTTCTGAAGATGGGTATGCCTTTTTTGTAAGAATCGGTCAGGCCCCGTACCGATCAAATATTTCTATAATTAGCTGCTGAGGGCTCACTAGCGGAGCTCGCATAAAGACCAATTACGACACTGTTCTCTGAATTCCACGGACGCAAACAACTAAATCTGCCTGTCTGACCCACTGCTACTCTGCTCTCCCTACCTACCATAATCCCTGGTTCTCTAACCTTTGTCGCATGCACAGACTCTCTTTCCTATTGCATATCAATGCCTATATAAAGACCTAGCCTCACCATTCGATTCACTTCGCAATGCGTGCTTGTCGCACTCCCCCTCCATCTCCTGACCCGACACATATCTCCGAATTGAAATTTTCTACTCCAGTACTCCTACCGAACCTAAACCAACGTCAGAAAAAGACTCCTAGAAGAATCACCATCGTTTTTCTACTCTGTGACGTTTTATACCTTGCCGCATTCGTCACCCTTTTCTGTGTCAGTGACTACAGTACCATTCCAATAGGGATAAAGCTGATGTATGGGGCATCTATCAAGCTACAGATCTGGACTATTTTGAACAGTTTGATGGTTTTGAAACAGATCGCCAAAGGAGACATTGAGTTGTACAAACGTATGGTGCCGGGAAACATGAAACATTCGCGAGTTCTCAACGCACTTTTGGGAATTCCAATTGGAATTTGGTGGACGCTGTGCAAGGAGAGCTATACTTATCAAATCGAACTTCTCTATGGGTATACTTCTTATTTGATAGGTAAGTGTCGTAGCAGACAGGCAAAAGAACTATTAAAATTTCCAGTATTCTCCGTGATCGTGGTAAATTGCGTTCCAACTGAAGTGACCCCGGAGCCGCATCCAAATCAGCCAGAGATTGCATAACTCTCTTGTTATTTTTGTGAATAAACCATTCTTATTATCCCCTTTGATGAACCTCCAGAAAAATAATATACCGTAATCCAGAATTGTTTTGAACAAAGCTCATTCCCTCGACGAAGTTTCAGGAAAACAAAGTACCGTAATCTAGAGCAGAACCTTCCAGTCCTCTCTAAATCCCCATTGACTTTTGCATAATCATCTTCAAAGTCAAACTTCTTACTTCAAAATAAGTTACTCATTACGACTCTATACACTTTCCACACTCTCTAATTTCTCCCTGGCTTCTGTTTCTTGGAACTAACGAGACACGGTCAAGCACGGATTAGACTGCTCTGCTTGCTCTCAATCACTCATCGACGTCTTCTGATGTTCCAGAATATAATAATCAAACCTTGAGGATCTTAGTGTAACATTCCATATCACTTGAGTGATTTGGGCAAATGAAGAAAACTGAGATAACCTTTTTGCTCAAACTTTGAACATCGCGTCTTTGTGCTGCTCCGCCTTAATTCATGGATTGATCAAACGATCATTATTTCCAGCTTCTCCTATGAACCTCCGGACCTTTTTTCTTGGTGCGGTCCGACCCAAGACGATTATCTAAATCGTTTCTGTGGCCTGGTACAAGACATAATAACTCGTGGTTGAGCACTGACTGTCTGCAACACAAGTTCATTTTTTCGAGAATTTTTTCTTGTGTCGGTCTTTTTTGATGTATCGTGGAACCTATAGCTTTCTTTTCTGTCAGCACAAGCAAAAACAAATTCTGGCCGACAGGTGTCACATAAGTCAATAAGTATTCCATCCCACTTTCATTCTCCGAAACATCTCCCCCGAAACCATAACGAAGCTCTCTGACTCCACCCCGAATTTTCACTTTTCCTACTCTCTCGTTTTTCGGATTGGCTCTGGTTTCTCTGTGCTCCCATAGAAGGCATGGCTCCCCTCCCTCCACCTACCTTTCCTTCATTTTCTCCTTTTTCAACTCCCAACGACACCACTTTTTCTTCCCTCTTCCCTGAATCTTCTTACCTGCCGGAGGTGGAGATGAACGAGTCATTTCCACTAATGGAGGCGAATCCTCCTCCGGATAGACTAGAAGAACGGAAATTCAAGCTTCGCACGAAAGCTAACAACGCGTGTGGTAAGCAATGGTCGTTTGATCTGGGATTGTTCATGGTTTGTGTCTTGTACTACGTCATGATCATCGCCACCTTGTCATGCGCCAAGTACCCGACTGCGTGTGCTTCTCTTCGGAATGCTGATCCCCAAAGCCTCCTTTCTGATGGATCAATTGGTTTGGATGTCAGTTTGGATGTCGGTGCCGAGTTCCATGATGGTATTGCGGCATCAAATGGAACTTCTTCTTTTTCAACAAAAGAAGAGGAGGAGGTGACAACGTTGTACGTTCTTTTCGGAATTTCCGTAATCGTCAAGTTTCTTCTCTGGCTTACCAACATCTTCGTTGGATTCAGTATCGTTGAAAATTCTGATGATGCCGCTCGTCACGCTCTCTTCCTATCCAAATACTTCACCATCTTCCGTGTCATCTTTGCATTCTTCGATACGGTTCTCTTGGTGACTGGAAAGCTTCTCTATGACGCTCACAAATCCATTGCTCTCGGATTCTTTGGACTCTTGATCTACCCATTGGTTCAATTCTTTTATGTTCTTGGTGGGTTTTCAGAATAATGATAGGTTACGAAATAATCGACTTTTCAGGATGCCTCGCTGTTCAAATCGACATCTCGATGTCGTTGAAGGAAGTGCTTGATGAGAATTTTGTGGAGGAAATGGAAATGGGCGAGGTTCAAGATGACGAAAGATTCCCAATTTGACATTTTCAATTTATTATTACTGCTTTTCTTGTCTCACCTTGTCTTCTTCTCTTTTCCCTGTTCCTCTTCCCTAATTGTTCAATTTTGTCCATGAGCTCATTTGCTGTCCCCCGATGCGGCATGTCGATTCGAATTGGCAATAAAACCCTTGTTGAATAAAAAAGTAAGACAGATTATGATAATAGTCGGAAGGAGTCGGTAGTTTTGCCGCTGGGTAATAAGGCACCGCTTGGAGCAATTATAGAGGGTTATTACAGACAATTTTCGTTTGGAATATGATTTGGCGGCAATTCTGAAATCGAGGGCAATTGAGGGTTATTATCAGATGTACAAGGTGGTGCACAAATACCAGAACTGATGAAAACGAATATATATGTATTTAGACATAAGTATTTTGGAAGCATGAAAATTGGTAGACATATGATTTGTTTAATTCAAAGTGACGGAAATTTTAAAAGATATTTCTCGAGTCTAGGTATTGTTATTATCGTCCAAAGATGATCGAATAATTTTAAACTTCGCCAGATAACTGACGAATTTCCGCTTACGAAAATCTGACCATGATCCGCTATAGAGCAGTTTTTGGCCAAGTTCCGGCCAGAATCTGGGCAATATCCGTCCGAAAAAGATCCGCCCGCCTGTTCGTCAACGTCTCTCTCTCCAAATCCTCAAAATTCGGTCATTTCATTTATTTTACCGCTTTGTAATCTTATAATGATAATGGTAACAATTGTTTTTTTGCATTTTTTTAAAATAGTGAGCCTGTTAAGCTCCGCCCACCACGGATCCGCTCTGGCTTCTCTAGACCTCTTTGCTTCCTGCCTAAAAGGTGTATAAAGATATTCAGACAACAACACGGCGCACTTTCCCTGTTTCTCCTTCCCTGAAACCCCCGAACGAGCCCTAAAAATGTTCGATCCTTCCTTGAGCCCTCATCGTCTGAGCACTCAATTCAAGCTCCGAAAAAGAGCTGAAATCTCGGCAAAAGCCAGCTTCATTTTTGAGACAATATTCATGGTCATCACCATCATCTGCTATGTCAAAGTCATCCATCTGATCCAGGATACTGACGTCGAGAATCAATTTATTCAGGGCAACGGAACAGATGTGGTCCTCATGTTTCCGGATCCAGCACTCGATCGTCGTATCTCGGAACTTCGAGAGGATTACTTTGTCTACGGAGCAGATGTGATTGTCAGAAGTTTCTTTTGGATGGTCAACATCAAAATCATCGCTCTCACCGTTCATCGATTCGATTCTCTCGCTGCCCGCCTTTCACGAACCATGACTTTTGTACGTGTTGTATCCGGATTGTTTGCTTCGGGAATGCTCATGAGAAGCAAGGTGCTCATGGATTCTTCAAGCTTAATTGTCTACGATGCATCTTCTCATTTCGTCTTCCATCTGGTTTATACTCTCGGTGAGTTACTACGTCGCGCCACAATTTATGGTTTGAAGGTAACGCTTTGCAAACCATACGAGACGTCACTGACCCCAGCTAGGATAAAACGCTTTTGCACTTTTTTAGAAGATTATCATAAATTCAAAGTTAAAAAAAGTTGTTTTCAGTTGCCATCCTGCTTCACTACGACTTCGTGTACTCGTTGGAGAAATGCTGGCACTACAATCGTCAGGAGCAGCTCGAGATGTTGGCTCTTTACGAAGAAGGCCTTGACGATAATTGATCTTTGTTAATTTTTTTTTCTTGTATTTACCCATCACAACCTAGACACCATTCTCTTTATACCATTTTTTCGTAGTTCTTTTTGAAAGTCTCCGTCCGGTAGACCCACTATATTTCTGTTTTTTTTTGAAAATCTAATAAAGTTGTATGGAAAAAAAATTGTTCACTTTCAGCTCAATTATTTCGGTTTTTGTTAAAGATATCAAAAAGTGGTCAACTAAAAGAATTTTGGTGATATTATGATAAATAATTTATCAGTTGACACCTTTTTCATATATTTTATAGGAATCGAGATAATTGAGCTCAAAGTTGAAGCACATACGGTATCACGTTGGCTCATCGCCCGAAACACCCTGGTTCAGTTGCTCTGGTCCTTTGATGCTCTTCTTGGCATTTGTCTTCTACTGTTATCTGATTGTGACATCTGTAAACCCTGACATGCAGCAAACTTCGACCTCATTCCCGGAGCTACACAACAAGACTCTATGGACCATTTCTCCTACTCAGAAGCTTCTCAACAATGCCACAATCCACGAGAAATACAAGAGCCTGGTCAGGTATCATTTGATTTCTCCACTCATTAGGATCTTCATCCTAACGGGCAGTTTTGCCACGACTACGAAGACCGTTGATGCCGACTTGCCACTTCCTCGAAGATTGTGGTTCCTTGCAGCTAATATTGTCATGCGTGTCCTTTTGGGATTAGTCGATGCAATCATAATCATCGAGGTCGAGATCTATAACCATGTAAATGTAACAGCCATCGCGAATTCATCAATCTTGAACGTATATGCAGCCGTTCAGATCCTCTATTTACTCGGTGAGTTGAATGCGAAGTACAGTATTAGGAAGAAATTCTAAATTGCAGATTCCATCGTCGGCTTCTCGAAAATCATAATCTGGATCAAGAAGTGCGAGCGTTTGGAGCAGGTTGAGCAAATGGCGATGGCATCAATGGCAGAGAGTTTGGTTTCCTTGGCCTAAACGATTCGATCTTCACTCTTGTCCAACATTATTCTTCAACTATGCCAATACTAAACCGAATCTTGTACTCTAAACTTTTTCCAAATTGTATAATTTCTTTAAAGGAATCTTAATAAACTCTTGTTTAAAGTTGGAACTCGAGAACAGTTCTGCAAAGAAGGAGTCCGTTTTGCAAAGAAGCGATCTATTGAACCATCTCTCTTCCAATACCTATGCACGTTATTCTTCTCACCAAAACATTAACTTCGATTTCCCCAGAGCTCATTATGTCAGCTCATACCTATCCTCGTGCTTCTGGAAGCTCTCTTTCTCTCCCTTCTTCTTCATTGCTAACGAGAAGTATAAATGGCTTTCACCTCCTCCCATTCTACTCACTGCTCTTTCTTCTTACCTCGCAGAATGATGGAGCTTTCCCAACAACCGCCCGGCTCTGATGCTTTCCCTAGCAACCAACTCCACCTTCGAAAGAAGATCTACCATGTCACCAACGTCCAGATCATAACTGATGTTGTGATGCTTTTCTTGACATTCGCCTTCTACGGCTATCTGTTGGTGGTCACTCCAAGTCCGTACGTAAAGAAAGCCTCAACCCCACTCCCGGAGCTACACAACAAAAGTCTTTGGACTATTTCTCCAACTCAAGTGCTTGTTAGCAATGCCACAATCCACGAGGAGTACAACAACCTGGTCAGCATTCACTTGGTCTCTCCAATCATCAGGTCCTTCCTCCTAATGACCAGTTTTGCCGCGACATTGAGAACCGTTGATTTCGATTTGCCGATTCCTCAAAGATTTGGGTTGCTCCAAGTTAATATTGCCTTGCGTGCCATTTCGGGATTGGTCGAGACCAGCATGATCATCAAAGTCGAGATCTATAAACATTCCATTGCTACAGCTATTGTGGTTCCATCAATCTTGTACGTATGGCCAGTCATTCAGCTTCTCTCTCTTCTCGGTGAGTGGAAAGGGAAAGTACAATATTAGAAGGTACTGAATTTCAGATTCCATCTTCGGCTACTCAAAAATCATCATCTGGATCAAGAAGTGCGAGCGTTTGGGGCAGGTTGAGCAGATGGCGATGGCATCAATGGCAGAGAGTTTGGTTTCCTTGGCCTAGAAGATTCGATCTTCATTCTCGTTTAACATCATTTCAACTATCCCAAATTGAACCGAAACTTCTATTTAGAACTTCTTTAAAATTGTATCATTGCTTCAAAGTAATCCTAGTAAACTCTTGTTTGAACTTGAAAATCTGGGGACATGAAAAATTAATTTTCCTCTTATACATAACTGAACTCCAAGAAAACTTGGCTCCGTCCTTCAAATGAAGTGGGCACCATTGAACTCATCTTTGGCTAATAGTCCCGTCCAAGCTCCGCCCTCCTCGCTCCGGATTAATAGGCTCCCTCCTGCTCGTTCATATTTCCCTCTAGCTCCTGCTCAAAATGAGTGGTCCTTCCCAAGATCTCCCACCATATTTCCTATTTGAAAACCAACGAAATCTACGATTTAAAGCCAAAAAGATAATCAAGTTTCAACTGTGTACAGACATCATTTTCGGGATTCTGGCCTCTATTCTCTACATTGTTGTTTTCTGGTTCCTATCCTGCTCCAGACTCCCCTGTCCGCCGCCAACATCTTCTTGTGAAAATTCGAACCATAATCAAAGTTTTGTGACTGCTTCCCGGGATCGTACTACTATCATCGACCTCAAACAAAATGTACTATTCTTCTATCAACCTTCAATGACCTTGAGAGCAATCTTCATAGCCACTAATGGGCTCCTGTTCGGATTTTTTGAAGATCTCAAAAACCAAAGAAATCGAATGGCTCGTTCGGTGATTCGCTTCATTACCATCTCTCGTTTTCTTTCTGGATTATTGGATTTGTTCATGATTTCGAGGGTACAGTACCTCCTCAATTCTCTTCCGGCGACTCTTCCTTGGATTCTGTTCGCATGGCCTTTGGCACAGTTTTTCTATGTACTCGGTGAGTTGAATGTTAAGGAACCCAAAACTTGTAATCCGAGCGGACAAATGGAATACATAAAACTCCTTCTGGGAAGCTCTCCTCTCCTTCAGTGATTTTAAGCACATCTACCGTATTTGTTGTAATAGAAGCCCACCCTATATTTTGAGCTCAATTATCTCGGTTCATATGATATATATCAAGAGTCTGTCAACTGAGAAAATATAAGTGATATTATGATAAACATTTTATCAGTTGACACCTTTTTGATATCATTTACAGGTGCCGAGAAAAATTGACTCAAAGTTGGGGGAATCAATCGGGGCCGAGATAATTGACCTCAAAGTGCACGTATAGGGTGGGATTTCATTAGAGCATTCACGGTAGGTTGAACAGTTCCTTTTTAACATTTTATTTTCAGATTCCGTATGGGGATACAAAAAAGTGATTGGTGTGCTGCTGAAATGTGAGCGGTTTGAGGATATTGAGCAAATGGCAATAGAAAATATGAACGATGGATAGGAAGAGACGATATAATTTATAGACACATAATAATTTATTGTACAATTTTTAATCAATGCCATATTTTTGTGTAGCTGATGAAAATAAGTATGAATAAATGAATTGTTAAGTCTTCATCTGTCTTCATCTTCATCTTCAGTCTTCATCTTCATCTCTCTCTTCATCTGTATCACTTGAGCTGTGCTCTTCCTACTCCTCTTCTTCTGTAAAAACCACAATTATATCCAAAGGTTAAAATAAGCGGATTAAAGGCTCATCCATATATCATACCTTCCCTCATTAGCGTTTAATGAAGATTCATTACATTTAATTGGTCCGCAAATTTGAATCATTGAAAAAGAGAATCGGAAACAGATAATTTTTTGCCAAATAAAAAATTTTTCTGTTTTCCCAACCTGAAAAAAAAAGAAAAAAAGGTTTCATTTTTAACTCTTTTTTTTCACAAATTCAATGCTTTTCTCTAGTTCACGGAGCTTCATTACCCTCTTCGTCATCTTGTCCTTCACAAGTTAATTCCCACCAAACCAAAATTGCGAAAGTGGGTACTGTAGTAAATGAGGGCCGAGATGAAGCTTCTGCGCTCCACTCATTGCCCTTTTTCCGAAGCTACAGTACACTTTGATCAAGTTTCCTTTGATACCACACATGGGGAATCGACCAACTTGCTCCAATTTGTGTGGCACTTATCTGAAACAGGAAGAATGATATATCTATATCATAAATACTACAGTAACTTACTTGCATTAATAGAATCCGAACTTATAAAAATACTCCAGCGTTTATTGTTGGGATTATTCAGAGCTCTAAAGGTGGCAGTTAGCAAACTGAGAACCACCATTAACCGTCTGTATAGAAGCTCTTTAGCGGAATTATCGAGATTAGCTATGAAGTTGTCGATGTATTCCAAGATCCAGGTCCAGTCCCAAAAGCTCTAGTTTCAGCTTCAGGATCATACCCACCAGTTCAAATAGCTTCAGTTCCAATAGCAACAGTTCCAGGACCCAGGACCGCACCGGCTCTCAGAGCTTCGGCTCCCAGAGCCTCGGCTCCCAGAGCCTCGGCTCCCAGAACTTCGGCTCCAAGAGCGCCAGCTCTCAGAGCCCCAGCTCCAGCTCCAGCACGATGCCAGTTTCCATTTCGGAAACTGACGATTCTCCCTGTTTCTCTCTCACCTTATATGCAAAAATCCGAGAGATTCTTATCTCTTCGCTCCAATTTTTCCACATTCAAAAAAGTTTTTTTTCAGAACGTGAAATTTTTTCTTTCCACTGAATTTTTTTGGAAATTTTTTGAATTTTTTCACGCGCCCGTTATATTATAATTGCATTTTACAATTCGTTTCAGTAATGAAAAATTGGTCTTGTGGTATACACTGTCAGCTGTTAAGCCGAAGCTTTATGGTTCGACCTCTGCCAAGTTTTTTCTTTTTTTTTTTGTTTTTTGCTTTGGCAAAAATTGTTTTTGAAGGTTCCTTGCACACTTTTAACCAGAATTTTCAAATCATGTGCGATTTCTAAAAATCTATTTTTATAATTTTTCGCTGAGCAAATTATTGTTGGTCATAGTTGTTATGATGACTTGTATTTCTAACGCCTGAATCGACTATCCATACGCACGGAGTAATACACTTGGGGGACAGGTTCCACATGAATTTTTGAAGACGTCACATTAATTTTTAGGAGAAAAGTGAAAAACAAAAAGTTGCTCTATTGGGTTGTTGTAAACAGGGATTGTGGAAAGCTTTGGATTGGGAGTTATTGTCGGAATAAAAAAAGTGATTTGCAAGCTGCGGCGCAGTTTTTTGCGGCTTTTTTTGTTGGAAAAATAACAGAAAACTCAATGAAAATCAGGAAAAAAAAGGAAAATGAACGTATTTTTCAGGTTTCGAAATTTGTCGTTGTGTTAAATTTTTTTAAAACTACAAAATTGAAATTATTTGTAGCATCTAGTTATAGGCCTCCAAATTCAAAAAAGTGAATGAGTCATTTTTTAAACTAAAAATTTAAAAAACAACTAAATTCAACAACAACTTTATTTTCATCAAAAAAGGCAATCAAAGTCCAATAGCAGTTTTATCAGCCGATTCGTCCGCCGAATTATGAACGGATTTGCCAACCGAATTGTCAATCGATTTGTCAACCGATTTACCAGCTTCGTCGGCCGCAACGTCGATTAGTTTGCTAGCCGATGTGGTAGCCGTATCGTCAATTGAACTGTCAGCCTGTTTGTCGGTTGTTTTTGTTGTCTTCTTGGAAACCGAGCTGCCAGACGACTTCTTCTTGGTTTTTGCAGTCCGCTTTTTTGCTTTTTTTGCAGGTTGCTTCGCAGCCAAACTGTCAGTCACCTGTCTGTGTGTTTTCGGCGGATTGGGAACCCAGTCCTCGGGAAGTTGTCTTCTTGCGAAATCGTATGCTTTTTGTTCATCAGTACGACTATCACCATATGGTTTATCCACATCATTTATAAATCTTATAGGAACAACAACTAAATCCGGAGTGATCATCGGGAGTCATTTTCTTGGTATTTTTGTCAAAAAGACCTCTCATTTGAGAAACTTTTTCTTTGATACCAGCAGGCCACGATGTTTTCACAAGGGAAAGAGCATCCAATGAACTTTCCTCCTTGACAAAATCACTGTATTTAGCCAAGTATTTTGAATCGATTTTAGCGATGTTATCGATTCCCTGAACAACCTTATCCAACTCCTTACAGTTCTCACCTTGCACGCCACACGATTCCTCAACTTACTTAGCCAATCCCTCCAAATCGTTCGACAATCCCGCCAATTTTCCACTTTTCAACGCATCAATACTTTCTTTTCTCTTCTTGAGCAACTCGGTGACAGCTTGTTCCAATTGAATTTTTCCTTCCTTCAAGTTCCTGACGAACGGCGACCAGATCCACGATATAACCATACATTTTCAGATCTTGGACAACAGCTGGAAGCAACTCATCTGAAATGAAAATTTTTAAAGATTATAAAATTGCAGCTTTTGGACATATTTGATAATTTGACAATGGAAATATTGTTTTACTGTTTCAATCAAATAAATCAAAAATTGCTAGAAATTGGTAGAGATTTGTAGAATGGAAATACAGGGTGAGGAATAAATATAGCGCCGCTTTTAAGACGGTATAGAAACCTCAAAACAAAAGATTTTTTTCTCAAATTCGGTCAAGATGTTCATTAAGAGATAACAAAAAAGATGGCATTAACAATTATTGAGCCTTCCTCCGTTCGCTCCGATGACAGCTCGAAGTCTCTTCAAGAAGGAGTCGACTACGGCACGGGGGTAGTTGACGTCCAAATTGTCCCATGCCGCGGACAAGGATCTATTCAGGGCTTCCAAATTAGGATAATTTTTTGTGGAGACTCATTGGGTCCAATATTCCCAAAACAAAAAATTCGTTGGATTGAGTACCGGACTGGAAGCTGACCATCGATCCTTAGTGAGAAAATCCGGAAAATTGGCTTGGAACCACTGACGAGTGAGCTTTGCAGTGTGTGCAGGCACTCCGTACTGATAGAATGGTCAATTGTCGTTCACAAGACGTGATTGGGACTGGGGCAGCACCTCCGACTTCAACATTCGTTCGATGTAGGATTTTTGTTGATCTTGGCTCCACAATCGACAAAATTTTACGAGCATATCTCACCAAATACGGTCACCGTGACCGGGTGAGATGTCTTATTCTGGGTTTTTCATCTTCTACATGCACTATAATAATCGATAGCCCCGATTCAATTTTTCTGGTCAGTCTTGTTTGCCTGAACAGTGTACAACTTCATCTATAAAAAACGGTCTTCAAGTGCGTGCCGAAGCGCGTGCCTCGAAGGAGATTTTTGGATTTTTTTCAGTTTTAACCCTTTGTTACGGTCCGTTAGGAAAGCGCCTTTTTGGGTTCGATATGGAATCATATGGAGCTGTTTTCGGAAAATATTTCTCATTGATTTGCGGAGCATTAGGAATAAAAAAAGTGAGACTCGGTGTTTGCGTACTTTGATTCCCGCCTCCCCCCACCGACGCTCCGCCCATCGTTT